AAATTATTCTTGTCAAAGTTTATTACCTTTGTAAGCAAAAAAGGCATTTGACAACAACTAATAATTCTACAATTGTCATCAAATTTGGATAAAATAAGCTCTATAGACATAGTACAAAAAAATTAAAAAATACATCTTAAAAAAATATTTATTAGAAGAATAACTGATAATAATTTGTATTCATTCATAAAGAAAAGATGAATCTTAATTCTTATATTAAATGTTAATGATCTAACGTTCATAAGCAGCAATTAAGCATATATCAAATAGATCACGTAATAATTAGAAATCAAATAAAAAATATTAGATATGGAAGAGAGAGATAAAATATTATACTTATAATAGCAGAGAATGTTAAAGCTTTTCATCAATGACATCCATTAAAAAAAAGATGAATAGTCAAGCAAATCTTTGCTATAAAAAAAGAATCTTCAATAAAGTTTTTATTCTATCTTTTATCCTTTATTGTAATTTCTTTGTATTAGTGGGACTAATAAGATGGAGAACCAACATTTAGTAGATTCAACTCAAGAGCTATTATTTGCTGATTTTATCAAATGAGACATTGCAATTGATGCAACCTTTAAGATAACATAATAAAGATGAAGATCTTAAAGAATGATATATTATTCTCTAAATATATGGTAAGATATAATGCGTTTGGTATCACAACCTTTAAAAAGACTTTCAATACTTGGTAATTTTATTAAAGGTAGGAATAATTCTTCATGGTATTACAAATGTTTCTTTTGAAGGAAGATACAAAGGCCTAAAAAATGATCAAATATTAGGGAGGTCTTTCCATCTTGGAATAAAATACTATCAATGGCTAAGAGGACCTATTAACTACCTTCAAAAGAAATAAAGATGAGAACATATTGTAAATATAGTTTGTTGCATTTTAGACTTTATAAACATGTGATCACTATTTTTTATAGAATTTGTGTCTAGAAGGGGCAATAATGTCACAAGTATACATATTTACTCTAATAATTATCTAAATACTATGAATAGATAAAAACATATAAATTTAATAATATCTTATAAAAAAACATCTTAAAAGCTTTTTAGTTAAAACTTTGACTTTATATGTGTTTGTAGTTAATTAAGAGGTTAAAAACTTAGCCAATAAATTAGCTACATATTGCATATATTGATAGTTTGTGGTACAAGCTAACCATGTGGTGCACTTATTGGAAACTTGCCTTGCAAGTTAAGACATGGGTCTTATAAATTAGACATATGTCAAAGGTCCTATAAAATGTTTTCAAGTAACTTCTAATTATATAGTATAGATAGAGGCAAGAGTAAAGCCTTCTTTACTCTTGGCAATGCCTTTTTAGTCCTTAGTCTTATTTTAAGACTTTTTAGTCTTCTTCTATGTGACAATAGCCATTCTAATTTTAATACTATATTAGTTTTGAATAAATATCTATTCTTTCGAAGTGATAGAAGAATGAATTGAATTTTATTTGTTTAAAATTTATATTTTTAAGATCTTCATAGATTTTATTAAAATATATAATAAAATCATCAATTTTTTATATTTATTAAAATATATAAAATATATTATTTAATATTATATTATTCAAAATAAATATATAATTATACTAGTATGTTTAATTTATCTATTAAATGAAGAATAAAACTTTCATTAACATAATTTTCATAGATAAATAAGATAGAAACCTCAATAAATATTTATGCCAATAGACATTGTTTAATATAATAAAATAATAATATAATGTTTGTTACAAATTTTATTTCTATACATGTAACAAAAAAAATTGCATAGTTCACTTAAAAATCTAGAAGTACAAAACAACAAAACCTAAAGATAATTGACAAAAATAAAATAAAATAAAATAAATCTACAAATAATGAGGACAATAGATCTAGCTGGTGATCATTCTTAATGTTGATGATAACACTTTAGGTATTAAATTAGGTGAGATAAGTGCTAAGTTTTGGATCCTATTTTTGATTAAAAAGGGCTTTGTTATATCTATTATTTGTTCTTGATTATCATCAACTAATAAAATTGCATTCAAAATAATCTTGATTGGTACAAAAACTATGTTTGTTTATAATGTAAAATATCAAAAATTATATAATATTATTTTATAATAAATAAGTTTTAATGTTCTACAAAAAAACTTATTAGTAGTGCAATCAACATTATTGTCTACAATATAAGAAGTTATAGAAGAGATAATCAGAATATATAATATGTCATTACTAATAATTAGGTTTTGAACTTAGAAAGTCCACAAAAAAAAGATGTTTTCTTAGTTTCAATCTCCGTTGGTACATATCTTACATCTGATAGATCTTTAGTGGTCCTCTAATATGTTGAACTCATTAATCTAAGATATTCAAAGAAGCTGAAATGATAATGTCAATTCTATTAGATTACATCTTATACTTATTAACTAGTCATTATCATATGAGATGCTAGAACAACATTCATTTGATTTTTCTTATATAAAATAAACTTAAAAGTTTAAAGATGTATATTTAAAATCTTCCAATTATAAGTTCATAGCATAAAAATAAACTTTTTAATCACTTATAAATAAATTAAAATATATTGATAAAAATCAACAAATATCAATTAATTGCAATTCCAGTTATAAAGATTGCTTTAGTAAACACTTAGAAATTTAAGTATATTCATATTATCACGGAAATATATATTTACTCCAATAGTTACTTATATGATTAGCTAGAAGTAGGTAAATATAGATTAATTTTATAAAGTCTTCTAGAGAAGCTTCCTACAAGCTTCATAGATGTAGTTTTGACTTTAGATGTATTTGTAGGTTAGAAACTTGGCTAACAAGTTAACCACGTGTTGGTAGCTTGTGGAATAAGTTAACTCCGTGTAGTAGCTTATGAAACAAGCTAACTATGTGGCGCATACATAGATAACTTGCCTTGCAAGTTAAGACATGTGGATAGCAAAGTCAACACATGTTGGATGTCCTACAGAATATTGCTACGTAATTCCTAGTTAGAAAGTATATATGGAGGCAAGAATGAAGCCTTCTTCACTCTTATGAATGCTTTTTTAGTCCTTAGTCTTCTTTCAAGACTTTCTAGTCTTTTTGTTTTTGGCAATAGCCATTCTAGTTCAATATTATATCATATTTGAGTGACTTTCTAGTTCCTTTCAATGATACAAGAGTGTATTGAGGATTTTTTTTTCTTCGAGATTCATGTCTTTGATACATATCTATCAACTCCTTGGAAATAGCAAAATTAAACATAGACTTTAGTTGGCTATATTTTTGTAACAAATAATGCACATTTATACAAAAAATATAAATTTCAATAATAGACATGATTTTTTTTTATAAACTAAATTCAAAAGAGTATTATTTATATGTTTTTAGCATGGGCTCAAGAAGAAACCATCTCTAAAGATAATTTACATCAATAATATTAAATTATATATTATTGGTCTTTTTTATATAGTATATTTTTAGAATTTTTATAAATAATATTTTATATTTATTTAGGATTTAGATTAATATTTTTATAAGTAGTATATTTTATAAATAAGCAATGTTGTGAAACCTATCGGTGATGTTTCATCAAAATGGTTTTAATGAGACACTTGTAATAAAATTTGGAGATATACTTCTAATTCTTATAGTAATGGAAATAGAGTATTAACAAAAACAAAATAGAGTAATTTACTGGCACTGATCGCCGTAGTCACAGATTCTGTGCGGGGGACTTCGCCAACAATCCAAGCAAACGCTTGAATGCAACTAGGGGATCACAACACTAGATGAAATTTGTCCGTGGCCGCATCGATTAGCAATGTTTCAGCTGAATTCCCAGTCAATGAGATGCAGATTCTGAATCAAACCGAGTCACGTATTTGGTTCAATCGCGACCAAGCCAAGATGATACTTAGACTAACTTTTCCTCGAGCCAGCACCGTAACAGTTGATGTTGTACAGATTGTTTGATGATTAGATGTTTTACAATCTGTTTTATAATATTTGTAATAAAAATGAACAGCGTGATACATGAAAGTAAGTTAGAATTACTGTGGCAATGGATCCGACAGCATAATACATGTTTGCAAGAATCCGAGCGAATTTTAAATTCATCGAGGGAATGTTCGTTGAAATAAAGAATTATCTAGCAATTATAAGTTTTTCTTTATTTGTTCTCACCCACGTTGTTGTCCGCGGTGAGTTCATGAAATAAAGAATAAACGTATTTCCGCACTCAAAATTAACTTGATCTTTTGGGAAATTTTCATTGAAATGCAGAAACCTTTTCAATTTTTATTTTTATTTTTTTTCTTTGCTTGTGTTTTTATTTTATTTCTCTGTAAAATATTCATTGTTTGAAAAGCTGTGAATACTATATGAATCAGAATGACAAGTGGGTACATCTATTCTTAATGAAAAGAACTACACAATATACTGAAAGTATGCTTGGTTGAAAATGCATTCCCTTCAAGGAGGGAATATTCAAAGAGCAACACAAATTCCGGGAAGCAAAGCTTCATGGTTTTGCCGTGTGAAACCCAACTACTTCTTACCTACTTGCCACACACTGAAATCATACGCCACATCCTGTGTGACGCAACAAGAATTAAATTTTTACACTGCAAACATAAACACAAAATGAGCATAATTTTGGTTATTGTTGACATTGTGAACTCAAGCTATCAGGGAGAACATTTCACATAATGCGTCAGTCCACGAACTGGAAAGTACCGGCATTCAAAGTACTGCAATGGTTTGTTCATAAACCTTTGCAGTGATCCGCAACCTGATGGAACTTCCACATTGAATTTGTTTCATCCGCCTGTTAGTGTGTAGTTCTATCACCATCATGTGATAGCTAACACTCACACAAACATACATTTAGGAAGAGACATCAACTAATGTCAAATTCATTCGGCGTACATGTTACACCAACCACCAGCAGTGGTAAGTATACATAAGCCTTTGAGTGACACAAATTAATTAGAAACTCGAAAGGACCTGCAAGCTGAGGTGACCCACTTTCTCTCTTCATCAGAATTTACCCCACTAGCCGCAGCTATTCAACGCCATGCAGCACCCCTGGCCTGCTCAAGTCTCGGGAAGCAAGACGGTTAGAGTCCAAGGCCATTGGCTCGTAGCATGAACTCAACGTCTAAACATGTAGTGGGTTTTCGAATTTGATCCTCACCGAGAGAAATTAATGTGGTGTGTAATGCACGAAAACTATTTACAAGTGGCAAGCGAGACACAAATGAAACCTAAGCACTTGCATTGACTAGGACTCGTGGACTTGTATGGGCTAGTTCTGCAAGTTTATCACAACACTAACTCGCAATTAGTTGAAAGAAGCTTAAGTTAACATCGGATTTGGCCATTCCGTCCTTATATTAGAGGCTACTTTCAATGCTTTACGCGAGTGTTCAGGCTTAAACTACACCTTCACATGTCCATGCAGCTCACGTTTTAAACCATTGTTGTCGCTCGTTGATGGTGAACAGTCTTCACAGCTAACTTCCGGTGAATTCATCGAGTTTGTCGGGACAGAATTTCTTGTAATTCTTACAGGTCTCATTTAGTGTTGTGAGTTCAGAAACTGGTGGTTCGCTGTAACGTCAGTAGAACCTCCCAAGATTTGCAGGACAAATATGTGCACAGTTAAACTCATCTCAAATTCATGCAATGCGCATTCCCCTCAGTCCTAGCGTCAGACCTTGAAGAGAATCTGGCAGAGCCATGCATAACCAATACAAATAAAATAAAAAAAAGTTATCAGTTCGACGTGGTAGAAGAGAGGCCGAATTCTTCAACCTGCTCGCTGTGGCTTGCGTCGACAAACTGTTAGTTCAGATGAGTACCAGAGTTAAGAAGTGCAGCAGTGCGCCAATATTTTGAAAAGAGAGATTGAAACGCATGTCTGAGAACATACCACTGGAGTAGACTTCATCAGTTGGTGCTCTTAAAACACTGTTGGATAACACCACATTGCTCTTACAAGGTGGAGAAGATGTACGCTATGGCTCCGCATCATCAAGCGCTAGTGATCACGTTGGCAGGAGTATTACTTCATTACTCTCCGTGTTTGATCTCAGTGAGTGCGCAACCACTTCCCCAGCCCGCTGAACCTCTGTTTCCAGCGTTTTTCATTTTCGGGGATTCCTTGGTGGACTGTGGCAACAACAACTACATAACTTTGACCCTGGCCAAAGCCAATATTCCTCCCAATGGTATTGACTTCCCAACACACCGCGCCACCGGCCGGTTTTGCAATGGCAAAACTTCCCATGACGTTTTGGGTAAGTCTGCTCTCATTGATCACGATCCTGGCAATAACCCCTCAGATATACATTTGACATGCTCACCGCATATAGCGATGTAAAATGTGACCGAGATTTTTATGTGTGGCAGCTGACTACATTGGGCTCCCATATCCTCCGCCGGCTGTTGCACCTGCAAGCCGTGGCTTCGCTATTCTAAGGGGGTTGAATTATGGATCGGGTGCTGGAGGCATTCTCGATGAAACTGGCGCTAATTATGTGAGATTCTCGTCCTTTCTTTTCTAGTTCCAGAGTTGTTTCGCAGTATATCTCACTCAACTTGTTGGATCGATTGGTAAACATGTGTGTAGCAACATAGGCATTGCTTCTTTCATATCGCAGGAATGACAGGTTGATGGCACCTAGAACAATTGCTGTGCAGATTGATCGGCTGTCCATGAATGAGCAAATTTCACTCTTCCAGCAAACGGTAAATCAACTGAATGCCATGTTGGGTCCATCTGCCGCCACCGATTTACTCCGTAACTCATTGTTTACGTCCGTCATGGGCAGCAACGATTACGTCAACAACTACCTACTCACAAGCAACAATTCCACAAGGAATCAGTACACTCCATCTCAGTATGTTCAGCTTCTCGTGTCAACCTACAGGACCCAACTCACGGTACATGTGCTTTTCATCATGTCTTCCAAGAGCAAGCTACTGGTTGATTCACCGGAACCTTGAGAACCTCACGACAGTGCATGAAAATGAAATTGACTAAGTTTAACTGAGGTGGCTGTCTTGCAGACGATTTACAACTTAGGAGCCAGGAAGTTCGTGGTGTTTAACGTGGGTCCTCTGGGATGCATCCCCTCACGCCTGGCACTAGGTAGCATAGACGGTTCATGCGTGGCAGCTGACAATGAGCTGGTTGTGAGCTTCAACACGGCCTTGAAGCCTCTCACTCTGGAGCTCACCCGAACACTGCCAGAGTCTATTTTCTTGTATGGAAACTCCTATGATGCAGTTTATGATCTCATCCTCGATCCTTTTCCTGCAGGTAATGGATCGCAGAATCACTCCACCGACTCACACGCTAATTTCATATATATGTTTAACTTGGAAGCTTCAAGAACTGAGGTGGGTTGTCAACAATAAATGCTAAGCCCTAATCTTTTGGTGCATTTTTCAGGTTTCAATGTGGTTAACGAAGGCTGTTGTGGAGGGGGAGAGTACAATGGGCAACTACCTTGTTTGCCCGTGGTGGACCAGCTCTGTTCTAACCGAGATGAGTACGTGTTTTGGGATGCATTTCACCCAACTCAAGCTGTCAACGAGGTGCTGGGGTTTCGGTCGTTCGGAGGGCCTATATCGGACATTTCTCCTATGAACGTACAACAGCTTTCTCGGCTTCGGCTTTGAAACATCATCGGCCATCCAATTGGTTTCTCGATGCAATGTCTCAACATAAGTTTATGACACATTTAGCGATCTATTGTACTCACGTGAAAGAATAACACCGATTATGGTTCAATGTTAAGTGGTTCTGTATTTGTCTTAGCTGATGCATTCGTATGTGCTGGAGACCAAGCAGAACTTTACTGCAGGTCAGTCACGAAGTCAATCATCGTTTGCGAATCCTCTCACTTAAGATAACTACTCTACTATTTCAAAAACCAATTTATCCTGCAGATGTGACGTCTACATCCCGTCCTAATCGCCCCTATAACATGACTCAACTTTCCTGCTCTTCATAGCCTTCTTCGGTGAATGACAGCGGAGTCCGAGATCAAATTGACTGCAAAGCTCTTGATTACTAATAGTGAACTCATAGAAATCGAGTCAGTTTTCACAACGGAAGCGTGGAATTTCACCAGGGAACCAAATGCCATGCGAGGGCTAGAAACTGTAGAAGACGTAACTGGTCCAAAGAATCCCAGAAGTTGAAGAGCTGCACGCAATCCCTGCTGGAGGAAACGTCCAATACCTACAATTTCCCCTACACCTAAGCGACCGCTGGTTGGTATATCTCTCGGTTTAGAGAAATATTTTATACTGAAGTCTTCGGTCCACATTGGCGGAGTCTTCTTCCTAAACGGTGGATGTGAGTCCTGGAGCTTATCTGCAAATGTTGCTCACAAGCATCTGTAGCATCCGATTGCGATACCAGACTTCAAAATTATTGTCATGTCCACGCTGTATTTCTATATGCATTCGATGCTGGATAATTCTCCTCTCAAAATTTCTCACCGCAATTGCACTCTACAGAGCCCTGAAGATAATAGTTGCCGATTATGGTGATTTTTCACACGAATGTGGACGATATCGTTAGCGAGCTACGCAAATGAAATTGGTCAGATTAATCTACACAAAATCCATCGTCGAAAGCACAACAGACAAGCGTGTATTTATGCTATTTCTTCGACGATGAGACAATCTAAACTGAGATCGGTATAATCTTGGAGATTTGATTTTTAATTTAATTTAAAAAATATCCTTTAACATTTTTGCTTATTTGGTCGAATAATAATTTGAGAAAAGTGGAGATGAATTCCCTGTAGTTAGCGGCGCGAGAAGAGCACGTAACCCTTGACAAGACGTGGTCCGAGCGATCATTGTTGGCCCACACTCTGTGCAACCCATCGACGATATCCAAGGGTGCTGGTCTTTTCTGTCATCTCATCACAAAGCAATCGTCTTGTAAGGGGCGCTTATGTTAAGTCTCGGACTCTCTGCGACAGTCTATTGCGTTTTGCAACTGGAATAGTCAATAACGCAGCGAGAGGAGACCATTGGAGATTACAGCAGCGCTGCAGCCATGGAGAAGATGCAGATGCGCCAGCAGTTGTTGCTTGACCACCTGAAGCCCGAGACCGGACGGAGGGCGGCTGCCAACGTCGTGGTAAGCCTGCCGATGGTTTGGAAGAGTTTTTACGACGGGGTTTGGTTGTTGGAGACCGATTGACTCAGATTGAGGGCAACTCAATCGTTTGCTGTGTTGGGTTTGGTCTATGTCTGGGAGTTTTGGATTGGTCTTCAATTGTTTCTTCGTGGAGTTATTGTTGTGGTCCCGATTGCCCAGCATGCTTTTATGCAGTTAGGTAGAACCGCATACATTAGAGGCCTCTATGTACGACGTGAGAGGTTCTTTTTGTGTAAATCGGTCGATTTCATGTAGAATCAGTGCTAGAGAGAAGCTTGTGTTGAAAACGATGTTGGGTTTTGTTTGCATGTATTCTTAGAGTGAAAATGAACTCTAATCAAGCAGAATTTGCGTCACAGGCTTGCTTCGAGGGAGAATTGGGGTGCTCGAGAGCAGATCACATAGAATTCTTGTTTTTGCTTTTCGCTGCACATGTTGATGTGGTTTCTAATTAGGCCTCGGCCATTCTCAGCTCTAGTTTCTTCGCTTGGCCACTGTGGGCTTGAATTGCAAGTTGCAAGTGTTTTGGTTTAGACGGGTTCTGAATTAATATTGTTTCGAGATATCGAATTGTTCACTTTGTAGTTTTACTCTTGTGGCGTTGGGTGTTTGATCGAATTACATCATTGACATGGTACACTAGAATTTCTCTTTACTTAACTTGTCCAGGTGATATTTTTTACGCTTTTCTGGGCTTGGATACAAATAGTAGGTGGTAGATGTATGGGTAGCTCATGCTGATCGTTCTTTCGGTGTTGTGTTGCTTCTCTTGCAGACGTCAATTTGTTCCGCCAACGACAGTGCACCTTATGCACGAACCACTGACTTCCTTGACGATGTCGTCATTGTGGCGTAAGTGTTTTCCAGAATCTCAATTTTAATGGCTTTAAAAGCACTACAAAGTGTATTATTACGCATCTGTTTAGGTAATTCTATCTTATTGATCATTTAAAAAATTGCGCATGTCAAGCGGCTTGAATCACCATGCAGACTGACAATGCTGATAGAGAACACATTCTGCGATATTCGATTTAAGCGAAATCAGTACTGTGAATTTTGCACTAATTTGTGGTTTTGCGCTGCAGTGCGTATCGCACGCCGATTTGCAAAGCAAAGAGGGGAGGTTTCAAGGACACTTATCCAGATGACCTCTTGGCACCCGTTCTCAGGGTGAGAATCGTCGCATTAACATTCATAGGGTGTGGCATGAGTTGTGTTTAACATATATACTCTGGACGTTTATATGTAGTGGGGTCAGATCCTACTTCTTTCTATTTACGAGGGTGTCAAATGTATGCAAGTCTTTAAATAGTACTTGCTCGAATACACCTGCAAAAGTGGATTTAAGGGAAAGAGTGAGAAATGGACGAAACAATAGGAACAAAACAGAGAAATGTTTTAGATTAGAGAATGAAATAAGTAAATACACCATAGTTTTTATTCTGAAGTGAAATTTCGGGTGCAGGCTGTCGTTGAGAAGACCGGCGTAAATCCTGCAGAGATTGGGGACATTGTGATTGGTACCGTCCTCGCTCCGGGTGCACAGCGTGCTAATGAATGCCGGATGGCTGCGTTTTACGCTGGTTTTCCAGGTGAAGTCCTGACTTCATCTCGTATGAGCAAGATTTATAGTTCTGTCTTAGGGGATAACGTGAATAGTTCGTTTTCCATGTAAGTGTTTATTGTGTAGGTAGCTTACAATTCGGGAACATCTTTTACTTATGTTTTTTTCCTGAAAGCCCACAGAAAAAGGTGTGACTTTCAGCTTCTGACGATTTTCGTCTTGTGGTGGTAACAGAAACTGTACCGATTAGAACTGTGAATAGACAATGCTCATCTGGATTGCAAGCCGTTGCAGACGTAGTGGCAGCAATCAAAGCAGGTTTCTATGATATCGGTATTGGAGGTGGATTGGAGTCGATGACTGTCAATCCCATGGCTTGGGAAGGCGCCGTTAACCCAAAGGTGGAGGCCGATCAAAGAGCTCAAGATTGTCTACTTCCTATGGGTATCACTTCCGAGAACGTTGCGGAACGCTATGGAGTTGATCGCAGACAGCAAGATGAAGCAGCAGTATGTCGCTCTTCTTCATGTCAGTGTTGGTGTTCAGTCTTTAAATACTGATGTTTGAGGATTTATCTCTGAAATTTTCAGTGCTGAAATTGAAGTTAGCTTCATTAATTGGTTTTGTTTGGCAGGTCAAATCGCATGCAAAGGCGGCAGCTGCCAGGGCTTCTGGCAGATTCAAAGATGAAATAATTCCTGTGCACACCAAGGTATTTTGTGGCATGGTATTTCATAATTACTGCTTTTTAGTCCGTTTAAGGGGAGCTCTCAACCAGTGGGTTTTGTGTGGTCTTTTGGACTATTTGCTATGGTGATGTAGTTTTCAAAAGATATGTGGCTTGGATTTCCGTTTGTATGCTGATTGCATGGAATCTGGTTGATATACACCACGCTTGGTTTCTCAAACTGTACTTGTATTCTCATCCTAGGGCAACTTTTTGATTATGGAAAGTTAGGAAAGGTCTCATGCATGACATAATGAATTCAAGCCTTCACCTTGACAGATTGTTGATCCTAAAACTGGAGAGGAGAAGCAAGTAGTCATCTCCGAGGATGACGGTATTCGGCCTGGGACATCCCTTGCTGACTTGTCGAAGTTGAAGACCGTCTTTAAGAAATCTGGCACCACCACTGCAGGTATACGGCACAAGCTTTCCAATCAGTCAAAGTGGTTTGTTTATCCAGATTTCTTTGGTAGATGGTTTTACTGTTAGTGGAGAGTAGTCTAGGAGCTTAGTAGTTAATCAACGCATTTTTGCTCCACAAGTTTGGTTACTATCTTTGAAGCATAAGTCTGGTACGCCTTGACCCTATCTGTTCGGATCATATGTATCCAATCATATCTTTTGTTTTGGCCTCTTTTGTAAGTGATCTTTAAAAATTAAGAAATAAATAAGCCCTAGTCCCCGCTTGACGTAAACCTTGGGTTTGAGTGTAAAGTTCTCTCTAACGAAGGTATTCTTGGTTGGGAGATTATAGGGAACTCTTCACAAGTGAGCGATGGAGCAGGAGCTGTACTGCTCATGAAACGCAAGACTGCTTTGGAGAGGAACTTGCCTATTCTTGGTGTTTTCAGGAGCTTTGCTGCTGTAGGTGTGGATCCAGCTGTTATGGGCATCGGTCCTGCTGTTGCCATTCCTGCTGCTATCAAGGCAGCTGGCTTGGAGATCAACGACATTGATCTTTTTGAAATTAACGAGGTAATGTCTTTACTTTCGTACAATTCAAGTATGATGCGTTCGGCAGTATCTCATAAATACGTAAACATTGGTCTAAAATTACGACGGAGGATGTAAAGTTACAGATGATTGGCCCTTTGCAGGCGTTTGCATCACAGTTCACATACTGTGCTCAAGAGTTGGGACTAGATGAGGAGAAAATCAATGTGAATGGAGGTGCTATAGCTCTTGGCCATCCTCTTGGTGCCACAGGTGAACAACGATTCTCGGTAAATTGCCATGCTTATAGTTTGTAAGCTCTTTTACAACCCTCGTACCTGACATTGTCTTTTGACGCAGGTGCGCGATGCACAGCAACACTCCTGCACGAGATGAAGAAGCGAGGCAAGGATTGCCGGTTTGGTGTAATATCGATGTGTATTGGATCTGGTATGGGAGCCGCCGCAGTATTTGAGCAGGGCGGTGCAATTGATCCGCTTAGCAATGTCCGGGCCGTCGGACAAAACAACCTACTTTCGAGAGATGCGAAGTAGACAGTTACGTGGACGCATACAAGCTTCGAGAAATCTGTTAAATAGATTCCTATAGAACGCGCAATGTGTTCAGTTTTCCAAAATCCTGACATCAGTTGTAGGTTTGATTTCGCTATAGAATATCTTTGGACAGTTCTAACAAAACTAAGCGATATTCGCTTCCGAATCAAGTCTTAGTGCTAATATACACATATTAGATGCTTTGGAACTTACATTTGAGAAATAACCGTGTCAGAATATTTATTCATGAAGAGAACATTCCCTATCAAGCCTTTCACTCTGAAAATACTGAAAAACATTCTTGAGATGGAAGCGCATTTCTCGATGAAAATAACTGATTACAGGAATATTCAATTAAGCTCATGTGTTTTAAATAGATTTAATAAGTTTGAATGAATTATGAACTAAGGCATCATGGACATCTCAGATGCTAGCCAGTGTGCACCCGTTGAATGTGTAAATGCTTTGACTTCATGTACGTGCAACATTGCGGAGCTTCCTCCCTTCCAATGGTCTCTTGTAGCAGTCGTAGCTCATTGCTCTAAAGAATTCCTCCACGATCCCAAAGTAGAACGGAGACTTGAGGCGCATGTACCCATCTAAAAACTCCTCGATGTCGGCAATGTCGCCCCCTTCAAGCACCATCTGTGCAACTTCATCCTGGAACACAGTCACAGCTTCTTGCCGTGAAACTGCAGCTGCATTAGCTGCTAGCTTGCTGTACCCAACACCACCACTTCTCGGCGACTGTGCGGAACGAAACTCCGACAGTAAATTTACAATTAGAAGGATGTTTTGGTTCCCGCATCCTGCCCTACTTGATGCAATATTATCTGAGGAGGTATCACTAACTATGCTACTCCGAGAGGTATTGCGAATTGTCAACCCCTCGCGCTTGCTGTCACCTACCTGAGGATGAGAGTGCTGCTTTCGCCTCTTGTTGAAACTTGTCGACAACTTTCTCGTCAGCTTTCTGTGAACTTTTGTTGAAGGCTGGACTTGAGAGGGTTTGTCAATAGTGTACCAAGGTCCATCCCGAAACAACGATAAGGGGCTTGTCACTCTCATGCGACCTGATCTAACACCTCGCTGCTTCCGTCGGTCTCTCATGGTGTGATGGTCATCATCTGTCACCCAGCTTGCCGACGAGCCCAATGAAGATTGACTGGGTGAACACGACTCCGAATTTGGTGTGTAAAATTCATCTGCCGCAGATACAAACTATTACTCGATATACATGCAAATGACAACTGAACCTCAAGTGTCAGAAAGCAAGCCAAAGATTTTTGCATATTCAAGGACTTTTGAAGAAAATGACGCTATGGCGTGACCTAGATTCAGTGCAATGTTTTCTGAAATGTTTATTACCTAAGCTGCAGTTGATGCCTTCAAGGTTGTAATGGCGAGATGCGGTGAAAGATGTCTCTGGATCTGACATCTCCAGGTACTCAGAGTAGGCGACATTTCTACCTTCAGCAATCGTCCCTGCGATGTCAAGCTCCCCCTCAAAATCACAGGATCCGAAAGTATCCCAGCTGGTCCAAGGCTGTCTCCTGTTAGAAAAACTCAATCTCGAGGCAAAGGTTTTGGCTGCATATTCATCGAAATTGTCCACGCTGGACATGATAGTCTCGGGAATAGACAAATCCGAAAAATCCGAGACTACCTCTGAAATCACAGTGTTGGGACTGTATCCATGACAATCTGTGTATCGCCCAGAAGGCGAGTCCATCTTCTGCTGCATGAAGAGGTCAGGGGGCTTTGACAAAGAGTCCAAGTGAGCGATTGGGAGATTATCTTGAGATCCCAAAAGCTCTGCAAAAGCATTCAGAGGCGGCACCTCGAGCGATGAATGTGTATCGCAACTGTGCATCTGGATCCGTCCCTGTAAGAGATCCTTGTCCACTATTTCAGCACTACAAACAGCAAAGCCTGCCACATTGCCCTCGGTTCGAGACTTGCTTAGAATTTTGATGTTTCTTCTCGGGGTGGAGTTTGTACCGTTAGAAACCATTCTGAGTTGCTTGGTAAAAAAGTTCGTTAGCTTGGAGTTCTTCGTCTTCGTGACTGAATTGCTCTTTACGGTACCATGTAAGGACCTACTGTCACTTGGGGAAACCGCAGGCATGTCAAGTATGGGTGATTTCAGGAGCACAGGGAATATTGAAAATGCATTCTCTCCCACTGAGCTAGCGGCGCCATCTTCCATTCTTGGCACATGAGGTGACACACCTGGAGACAGTGACGACAGAGGAACAGATTGGAGGCCGTTGCTTGAGGGGTCCTCCAATCCAGCGCCATGCAGGACTTGTTGACAACTCCGAGCTTGTAAGTGTGTTTCCTGGGGGGACCTACACCTTAAGAAAGTGACGGGGAGCTGCTGCAGCATTTCGTCATAGCAAAGAGCTTTATGCCTAAATTCTCTTATACTTGACTTTCCAGCAGTCTCTCCCTTGACGGCGGCGTGGTATTTGGCTTTGATTTTGGGTTTCCCCAGCGGCCATCCCTTGAGGCTTCCATCGCCGTCCATTGCATTCACTTACTGCGCAACATGGACTGCACGTACAATATCGCTTCGAAACGTAAAAACACCGCGACTAGAAAATGGCATCACCCATTTGGCTCCACTCTTTGCTCCATCATAATTGTTCTCCCCATGCGAAAACGGTAGAGATACATATATCAGCCGACGGGTTAAAGCGCCTAAGATCTAACCACAGCCCTATTCTAGAGGACGAACGTCATCAAATGAACATATGCCCGTCACTGCCAGTTTCGAAACAACCCGCGAACCCGACGTACTTGCAACTTCAAGGGCCACCATTAGCAAGACGCCGCAATACTTAAGCTCTTTTGTCAAAGAAATCACTCACAAGGAAACACAGAAACAACAACAACCTCAAAAATCACCAGAACCATCCCTCTATTCCCAGCAACTAGAACCCTCTGCGAGGTACCGCTAACTTCTCCACTCTGTATCGCGTATCGCGTATGAATCAAAACTGGAATGTGGGCAACGGGCTTCCTCCACTGAGATACCAGTCAAACTCTCTCAAGCTCCAGACATGTATTCCACCCAATCAGCTCTACCTACTGCTCTAGCAATTGGGACGCAATAGTCTGTAAACCAATCTCAGACCGACTAATGTGCACGTAACCAACCCCGACCCGCAAAGGAAACCACGAAACCCAAGGCAAAAAAGTCTGGTCGCCGCAGATCAATCGACCAGAAGTAGCACAACTCCAGATGCTCCCAACCCACGTAGAGATCCTGGTTGTTAGGGGAGAGGAGTGAGGGAGCTGTGTGCATTGTTCATCGAGGATACGAAACGCACGTTGGAGACTTGCCAAACTGCGGCGAATTGTGGGAGACAACGCAAGACGCGTCGCGTGCGGCCCCTCAAATTCCGAGGTAGGCCAGCCCCCGGCTGGTTTCGAATACCTGGTTTTTGCATCCAAGCGCTCCGGTTTAGCAATCCAGCGTTTAAGAATAGTCCCAATGTTTGCATGGTTTGGGGCGCTTTTCTTCGCTGGGTGCCGATGGGGTCGCTGATCATGAATGGATTAATGGGGCAATTATAGTGCGTCAACTGCAAGGCAAGTTTTGTAAAATCCGGTGGGTTCGATCTCTTGCAACGGTCTGGGCTTTTCCCGTTGATCTTATGCGGCATTCCGTCATCGAATCGGGCCTCATCTCCCTCCAGATGCACAGTCTCTCCGAACGCTTCTGCAGCATCGTGATTTGAATTTATTGACGCATGAGACAATTGGATTTACTTCAAGACTTACCAAAAACAACACACACGTATTGTTGTGAAATAAGTCATTGCTGCAATTCGTTGAGATTGCGCGGTGTTTTTCCAGATTTCAAAGATCTTAATGATGAAACTTAATGATTATGTGTATGGTAAAATTTAAAACAAGATTGCACTTTGATTGTTTTGTTTTTTTCTGTACCAGTCTATTTACAATGTTTGTATGGACGCTCTTTAAATTCTAAAATTTTGGAAAAGTATTTGAATGATTGTATTCAAATCAAAAGTTGGATTGTTTATCTGTACAAATTATTCAACTTCTAACTGCTTTTCACGTAGTTGTATGATATATTTGTGTTGTAAATAATCATATATGAACACAATGCTATTTATTATAATTCTAAACTTAATTGGTTGCGTAGGTAGTGGACAGTGATGGGTTGTTCTGCGTTCACTTCTTTCAACAACCACAACCCTAAATCGTGACCCTGACAATTTCTCCAACAGACAGTGATAGTCCCAAAATATTCTGCCATGAAACGGAAATTTTGGCACTCATCTCGGCTAATTTTACACTAGCTGACGATTTTCCCAGTTCAACCGCTATATACAGTTGTCATTATAACAGATGGGAAGTTTTTGAAATATGCTGTTTTAAAACTGCATGGCAAGAGCTCAAGGATTTCTTAAGCATGAAAATCCGTATGAATTCATTGGTACTGCTATGTTCCTAATCTAATTTGTAGTCATTTGCACATCGAATAAGCACTGTTCTTCCAGAGAACGTTTATATTGTACAAAAGCCACCTGTTTATGTCCAAAAAGATTCGCAGGTAAATCATCCAGGTTGCTTTACCAATCTGCAAAACAAAACCTTGGGTATGTTATCAACTGTCAACCAATAGTAGACCAACGTAAACCCAGATCTGATTTAGAAAACCAATGCCAAAGAATAGTGATAGTAACAAATGCCCTGATGTACAACAAAGTTTAACCGAAGGTAACCATTCCACCAGTAACTTTTTGGGAATAGACGATAACAAAGGTATATCTAGGTGAAAAGTATAAAACGGAACGAAAACGGACGGAAAGAACAGAAAGGAATATCTCATGAACCAGCTGAAATATATCTGACAGAACCACAGTAACAAATGAAATTCAAGAAAACAATAATCACGTTCCATACCTGCATATTTTGACATTCAATGACAAGAATGAAGAATGTTCTTGAAAGGCGCGCCTTGTTAAGCACAACTTCCGGGTCTCCTATATCCACCCCTTGAAACCACTCGAGCAATTGAGTCTTCAGGAACTCCTGCATCGGATGCTGCATTTGATGCATCTACAAATCTAGCAGCGATTACATCCCTAAAATCAAGTAATCCATTTATATCTTAGTCTGAATCCGCAGTGTCGCTAAGGGGGGCAGGGAGACCAGCGCCAGCTATGAAGGTGTTGGATGAACTGCTGAATCTCTGCTTTGAACTACCCACTGACGACGACGAAGATGATGACGAGGATGACGATGAGGACCATGACGACGGGGATGACGTTGAGGACCACGACGAAAATGACGAGGAAGATAATGAATCAGTAGTTACAAACTGGCCAACACGTAACCTGTTTTGCTCTTCCAGCCTGCGTTTGCTTTCAGGAGTTAAGTTAGCGAAGCACTTGTAGCAGTAGCAACTGCTCTCTAATCCGCATTGGCCACGTGGTCCATGAGGCGAAATCCGGGTGTGTTTCACACAATAGACACACTGACATTCTCGACAATAATGTTTATTAAGCTTCATCCACCAGTCTTGAAATGATCGCCACCGATTAAAGCGTACCTTACAACCTTCATGGTTGCACCTGACGTTTCAGAAAAACTACTTATTAGATTCTCATAATGTTTAACAGCAGGATCCAGGTTCACTGCAATAACCTCTCCAAAATGTTTCTGAGAAATATCCAAGATAGTGCAACGTAAGCAGGTATCAAACAAAGGATAAAAGGTAAAATTGAACCGAACACGTGATGGACATATAAACGAATGCCGAAAGAGGCTGCTCGGACACCAACTCCAACCCACCTGCTTTTGCTGCGCTTAAAAGGAATAGGAAGTAGCTCTGTGTCCTGCGCTGGAGTTGATGGTGGGAACAACACCGCCTTATTTATCATATCCTGACATTCTGTTTCTCGACCACTGTTGTTGAGAGACGAGCCTCTCCAGCCACCTAAACTCGTTTGACGTCCAACACTGCTTGCCTCCAAAATATTATCTGTACCTGTACTTTGAATAGATTGAGTCTCAAAATATCCCCCATTCAGCTCTCCTTCACCCTCAAAGGGACTTTTTAAGAACGGTTCGCTTAGACTCTTCAGTGTGGCCCTCCTTGAATCCAATGATATAGAACGTGCCACTAACTTCACTGATAGGTAAGGGCTATCTAACCCTTGCCTCAACGTGTGGTGCAAATGATTCGTCAAAAGAGCCCAAGCAGCCAGAGTTATGTCAAAGAAGAAGGTGTGTCTTGAGAACAAGGCTAGAAGCAGTATAACTCCTGAGTTTATACAAGTCCATATACCACTTTTCTCTTCCTGAGAGGAATTGAATCCTCTCTGCACCAACAACTCTGGGCCCAAACTTGCAATAACCTGGCCTGCCATCTGCGAGGGAAGCGTATCCTCAATGTCCAGTTTGGAAGGCGAGGGAGTCAAAACTTTTCTACAACCATCTACGGTAACCCAGTTAGATGAGCCGTGATTGCCCCAGCTTTGCACTCTATATGTGTAATACTTACCGAGTTTAATATCGTTTCTATCCAGGAAGGCAACTTCATTTGTATCAGCCACATTTGTCCAGGTAGAAAGAGTCTTTGACCAACGCTCAATCAAATACTTGTGCAAGGGAGGCACACCACGATTGATAGGATCTTCCCATGAGAGCTGTACACCGCCACAACTGGATGGGTAGCATTGCAATGAGCGAATTGGACCTGGAACTGTACCAATTCCAAAAATTTGTCTCACCAAAGCATGTGTGATTTTAGTACGGTGTAGATTACTCTTGATTCCAAGATCCTGAAGCAAAGCTTCACTGTCGTTCTCAATGAGTGCTGGAAAATCCATTCCGTTAATAGCATTCTGACGGAATGCTTCTGCATATTGTGGAAGCTCTAATCCATGAGTAACCCAATTCACTACATGATTTGCAGTCATCATGTCTGACAGGTGATCCTGAACAACAGAAGAAAAGAATGTAAGCGGCAGAGTATTCACTATTACATGTTAGGCAGCGGCTAACTTAACCTGCTAGCTAACTTTGATCAACATAGTGTTGAGACTCGGAGGAAGATAAAACGTTTCTCAACTCTTTCCCTTCGACACAAGTGCCGACAAGTGCTCGTGCTAATTATGATGAATACCTTTACAACGTTCATGTTAATTGCTTGTTCGACAATAGCAGTTTTGCCACCACTAATTGCACTGTAGGGACTCTTGTCTTAACTCTCAGAATCAGATCGGAAACGTATTCAACTGTAAAGCACAACTCTCTGCACAGGATAGCAACAAACAACAATGTGCAGGATTTCTTCAGAAAAGCAAGCTCTCACCAGAATTTCTTCTGCGGATATAGTGCTGCCGCCATAGCTGAAATTGAAGCCAAACTGTGATGACGCCATCAGCTCACTCATACCCTCTTTTGTATCCATACCACCTTTATCTGCCATTTGCACGTCCAACTTCCGCAGGAACTGCATCCAAGTTCAGACGGTCAGTACAAACAGTAAGTCTATCCCTTGAGTGCCGGATGCTAGACAGTAGAAGAATCATCAAAGCCTAAGAATATAGCACAGCTCACAGAGAAGGATAGTACTGGCAACCTTCGAAGCTTCGCGTTGCTCAATTTCGCCATTTCCATCTTGATCTACTGTGCCAAAGAAAGCTTGCAAATTTCTCTGACAACCTTTGGCATTCGTCCTTGCCCCGAGAAACAAACCCATTACAGAGTTTAGAAGAAGGATGAATTTCCAGAGGGCCCATAAGTTAAAATGTAAACGGAACTTTTTGTACAATTGCAAACGGGACCTCTTCGTCATCGTCTTGGAGATTGCTTCCCCGAAATCTCCAGCAGCTGAGTGTCCAAATGCACCACAAACATTGTCTTCAGACGCTACTGTAGGCGTCTACCTCCCAACTCTAGAACTAATTATGAACATTTGTAGTAACTTCAAATTATCTAAATCAAGCTAGCGCCGTAATGTTCACCCCTGAAAAAACAAAAGAAAACGAAGAAATGAAGTATCAAAAAGCTAATCAACAATTAAGGTCGGTAATAACCCACAGTACACACTCCACAGTACAGACAGACAGTAATTAATCGGTCACAGAAACATCGACGAATACAAGTAATATAAGTTGATAGCGAACGCGTTTACCATGTAGAATATACAAAAATCTACTTCAAATAATGCATCTAAAATGACCATTGGTAAATTTAGAATCGCTCCGCTTGCGGAGGACAGAGAAATGGAGATGGAAATACAACAATCCGTACGTAGCACACTGCACGGACGTCAAGAATAGATCATACGGATCTGAACATCGAACGTGGAATTTGTTCGTAATTCTCATAATATTACTTCCGAAGTGTTGGACGTACGCGTCAACAACCCCCCTATATTTAACACTCTCTAATGAACTATTCTTCGTCGGGAGAGGTTAACAAAAGTAATCAAGAAAATACTTCCTCCTATTGAATCGGCAAATCCTCATGCGAATCTGCAAACATGGACAAGGCAGATGTCTACAGAAATTTGTACAGCAAAACGAATTTAAACTACACAGAGTACACCGAGAAGGTCACGCTAGTCCATAGGACATTCGAAAAACATTTCTACGGAAGGTTACCTAAAAATCTACAAGTAATAGACGTCATACATTCTACCTCAATTTAAATTCAATACACACCCCACGCCAAAACAAACAACTTAATACTACAACGATTTCGACAACTGCAGAGGCTCACTGCTTGTAAAGAAAATCGTCAATTCTACACTCATCTTCACTCATCCTCGTCCACCCTCAACCCCTTCGATCACGAAAGTAACTAACTACACTAACAAAGAATGATCCACACCAATCGTCCTTGCTCTTTGACGTCGCCACACGGTACTAACGACATTGCTCAAGAAAGCTACGACTCTTCAATCTTGGCCACTCAGTCTTACTTCGAATGACAAGAAACCACGCCATTGAAATCAACTCTAGTAACACACGAACGCGAAAATTAAATCCAAGTCCGCTCAGCGAACGGGATTCTCCGTCGCCACAGCGAATACAGCATGAAAATCTTCAGCCACTCAGAAGCAACCTGTTCAATGTCAACAAAAACCACAAAAATCGTGGTCAACTTGCATTCAAGGCATGAAGGCGGGGATGTCTAGGGCGGATCACCTCAGTGGCGAAGAGATTTCTCAGATAGTGCGAGGACGATTAGAAAATGAACGGAAGCAGCGCCGGCTAGAATCCATATCGCAACTTCCCCCCGGAAACAGCAGATTAAGTGAGGCACTTTGTCCACGAAGACGATGGCCAGTGTCGGGTTCTCGCCGCCACACCCCCCCTCCCCCGACCCCTCGGTATTAAGGCCACGTCTCCACGCCACCCACGTCAGCACGCTCTTTCTGCCACGCGTCCAAAATTGAATCGCAGGGCACCATCACGTCACTCTCCACACATCGCTCCCGCGTTCCAATCTTACAATAATCTGATGCCACGTGTTATTAGTCTGTCACGAGCTAGAAGATCTTCGAACTCTTCCCACATTTCCAAATTTGAATCCCTTTTTCTCTCAGCCAATGGTTCCCTGTCACCTCGTGGCTGCTCCGTCCAGCTCATCAATGTGGCATCCAGTGTCCGTGACCGAGATCAGTGGTGGTCATATCCGTCCCTTATTTATTCATCTGTCCAACCCCCGACGTTGTTCACACTTACCATTTCCACCCGTGGAAATCGATTTTCTTGGCACTTCAAATACTGGTTTACTTGTTGATTGCCTTCACGTTGTGGGAATAAAATCGTGCCTTGCACGTGGTTAATTGAAACGAGGTGCATGGGCTGGAAGAATGTCAAGGCCCGAGTGTTGACCAATTCTGCGAGCGCTGAGATCCCCCCGCACTCCTGGATGTCGGGAATGTCACGTTATCATTGGGCGGTATTCGTCACCGTGATCATGGCATTTCGAAGGTTTACGTACATCCTATACCGAGGAAACGACAAAAGACGCAGCTTTGCGTTGGATTTGTGACTGCCACGCGTCTGTTGCTATGAATTATTGCAGTTGACGTGGAATTGAAATTTGCCTATCTGGCACTCCCCCTCGGATCCACTCACGGATATTCTGGATGAATGAAGATGTTCGTTGAAGGAGGTGATTTATTTTTTTATTTTTATTTTTTGACATAATAATGTGGGTGACAACATCTATGATAGAGCAAAGTATGATGCAGAAACAACAAAACATAGAGACAACATCTAATCTTCTAATACCTAAGAAGCGGAGTAAGAGTCCTACGGGATGTAACTAAACATTTATACTTCCGTGAATATATTATATTGAAAAGATTTAACACAGAGCTGGAATAATTTTTGATTAAAAATCAAATTGGGAAGGCACACACTTGGATGAGGATGAAATTCGTCGAAAGGAAACGTACTCCTTTGAGCGTCAATGAAAGCAGAGCGCCAGGGTCTGCCACGTCACTAGGGAACTCTTACAGGGGAGAAGTGGGGTGATCCGACGTGGCATTTCTTGAAAGGGTTCAGCCCTCCAGCGCAGCCTTTACCAGAAATGGACCACTAGCATTTGTGTCAGGCAGCATGAACTCCGACCTTCGGCAAAATACACGGTGACTCGTGGTGTATTTTTCATTGTCTCTCTTTTTAATGCGTTGCCCATGATTTCATAAAGATTCTTTATGCGCCATTAATTATGCTCGATTGTTTTACAAAACCAATGTCTACTGTTCACCTTTGCTTTGTGGGCAACACAATGACCAAGATTGGCAGTAGGACAAAACTTTAAATGTTTAATTGTGGATTTTTCTTTCTTTGGTATCCTAAAATTAGAATTCGTGGGTTTATTTTTATTCAATACATGTTGTCAGTAATGAAGGATTAGCATTAAAGCCAAGTTTTTATTCATCGATTATGTATATGTTTGATATAAGAGGGTAAGAATACATATCTTGTCCTGAGTGAGAATTTCTTTTTTGACCCACTTCATGAACTTAAATTTTATAAAACCTCTAGATTTTCTCCATACCAAATCAATAATGCTGGAGATATACTTTAAATTTAGTGGGAAGAGCTTTGAGTAAAATTTGTAATTTAAACCTCCAATACTTAAACCATGATTTTATTTATTTATTTTTTAAAATACATGACATAATTCTTTAAAATACATACATACATACATACATGCATACATACATGCATACATAATCATATTTAGTATTTGTTTAAAATATAAATTTTATAAAATTATTTACTTAAGAACATATTAAATCTTGTTTGAATCTTAATTATGTTTAATTAATAAATATATTGAATGTAAAACTAAAAAAATCTTTAAATATTCTATATTCTTATACAACATATTCATGTATCTTACATTGAAAAATAATTATATAATTATAAATAAATACTTTAATATAGTAAATATTAATATTAAGAGTCATTAATATTATATATATATATATATATATATATATAATTTAATATAAAATAGAAAATTAAATGAAAAGGTGCCAAAATAAAAACCATAAGAGGATTTATGTTTCTAATAAAATATGAAGAAGATAAAATTTAGTTTAAGAAAATACTAATTGGGGACATAATAATAAGTCTAATATTAATAAGACCCACTTAAAGTTGTATTGTTTATTTGACTTCTTATACTTTTAGTAAGATTACTTTTATTATAAATAAATAAAAAATTTGATGAAGACCAATTCATGATATCTTTAAATAAAATCATCTTCTATAATTGAAGGACTTTTAGGAGGTGTCAACAAATCTTTTATTCATTTTTTAGTAATTATTCTATTTAACTTTGCTTCTAAAATTTTCTCCAATATATCTTCTTCCTTTAATCCTCATAATTGATTTTTTTTTTTGTATTATATCAGAGCATATATATAAATACATGGAAAACAATGGTAAATGAGATATGTAAATTTTCTTCTTTCTTATTTATGAAATAAATAAAAAATATATAATCAAAATTATTTAATTAAACAAGCTCATAGATTCAAAAGAAGTGTAATGGCTTTATAATAATACTATTTCTTCTACCAATTAAATAATCATTTTATTGTAAATTTTATTTTTGTATTATTATTGATCTTCTTTTTAACTTAACATTGTTTGGATTAAAATTGCACAAATAATCATTGTTTTGAATTGATATTAAGAGATATATTATTTGTGGTTGTATAATATGACATAGAAATGATTAGCAACTATTTTTGCCATTGAAGTTAACGCGACACACAATATATATTATATATGAAGAGAAGTGATTCAATAGTTATTGCTAAGATGAACTCATTGTCAAGGACAAGAACTTGATGAAAGTAAATAAACAAGTAAGACTCTCTTAAAGAAATATAACAAAATAGAAATAGAAAAGTATGTATTTTAAAAAGAAAACTAGAATGGCTATTGCCAAAAGACAAAGAAACTAGAGACTCTTGAAACTTGACTAGAAACAAGAAAGAAGTTGACAAGAGTGAAAAAGGCTTCACTCTTACCTCTATATATACTATCTATTTAGGATCTATGTGGTGACATTCTGTAGGACCACCAATAATGTGTTTTCTTTACATGACACGTATCTTAACTTGCAAGGCAAGTTTTCTATATGAATGCCATATAATTAGCTTGTTTTGCAAGCTACCAACACATGTGGCACATGGTTAGCTTGTTGACCAAGTTTCTAATCTACCTATTAACTACAAATACATGTAAAATCAAAATAACATCTAAGAAGCTTTTTTAGAAGGTATTATAAAATTAATCTATTTTACCTAATTCTACCTATTCATATTATCTCTCTCTCTCTCTCTCTCTCTCTCTCTCTCTCTCTCTCTCTCTATATATATATATATATATATACATATCAATGATATTATCCCCCTTTCTAGGAACGAGTTCCATGATGAATAGTGATTACATGTTGAAAAAGTCTAAGATGTGGCAAATTGTATTTGCAATATACTTTGATCTTTGTTCCCTTTGAAGATAGTAGATAGGTCCTCTTAGTCATTGGTAATGCCTCATTCCAAGGCGAGAAGACCACCTTGTTATTTGATTATTGTTGAAACCTTCATAACTTCTTTCGAACAAAACATTTATAAAACCATCAAGAATTGTTCTTACTTCCAATCTAATCATCAAACATTGAGAATCTCTTTTCAAATTGTGATACCAATTATATTATATCTTACCATCTATTCAAAGAAGAACATGTCATTCTTGAAGGTCTTCATCCCTATTATCTCATCTTGAAGGCTGTGATAATTGCAATGTCTTGTCCGATAATTCAACAAATGATGGTTCTTGAGTTGAATCTACTGGTTGTTGGTTCTCCATCTCATTAATACTACAATCATACAAAAACTACAAACAAGGATAGAAGGTAGAATGAAATCTTTCTTAAATTATGTCTCTTTTATAGCAAAGGTTTGCTATCCTTTATCTTAGTTTTGATGGATGTCATTGATGACAAGCTTTAACTTTCTGTGCTATATTTTTAAGATTTTTTGTTGGCTCCCATGTATATTTGCTAATATTATATTTTTACCAATAAATAAGATATTCTAACCTATGTCAACGCTGTCTTGAGTCTAAAACTTGTTCTACCTTGAATTCTTGATTATTATCCACTTCTATAGGAAGAGGTAGTATTTATCTTCTTCTCAAGATATTCATTGTCTTATATGGCTCTAAAAGAGCGACATGAAATATAAGATGGATTTTCATAGACTCTAATAGATGTAATAGATATGCGATTGGATTGACTTGTTTATTATTAATAAAAAAAGATATTTGTTATATAGAAGAATATACTGTATTGTTATAAGCAAACTCTACCAATGGTAAATGAGATGTCTAATTATCTTTTTGGTAGTTGATGGTACACCTCAAATACTACATCAAAACTTGAATTATATACTTTGTTTGTTCATCAATTTAAGGATAGAAATCCAAATATAGTTTTATGTCTACTTTTAGAATCTTAAAAATATTTTTTTAAAATCTTGATACAAATTGAATTTTTATATCTGATATAATATCCTTAAGCAATCCATGATAGTGATAGATATTATCAAGAAAAAAATTGGTTGTTTCTTCACTTGTAATAGCTTTTGTACATGGTACAAAAATATATTATTTTAGTTAAACGATCTACTATCACAAATATAGAGTCATAAGAACCTGAGACTAGAAGATCCGTGATAAAATCCATAGAAATAAAAGACCATGGTTGTTTTGGAATGGGTAATGGTTAGAAAAATCTATAGAATTGATGATGAGGAGTTTT